CTCTACAGGCTCCCCTAAGCTCCCTTTCCCTGCGCCTGCTCCCTCTCATCTGTCTCTTTTCCTGCAGGGAGGTGGAAGGAGAGTCTTCCCCCATGTTCCCTGGCACAGGCAGGGCTGGGACCAGGGGGAAGGTCCCCAGTCCCTCTCCCTCCCCAGCTGCACCCCTGACCTGAGCTGTCAGGGCCTGGGGCCATCCGGGTTAGGGTGAGGTGGCCATAGGCCGCTGGGACGCTTGGGGCTGCCTGGTGAGGACCCTCGTCTGGGAGGTGCTGCAGCCCGCCGAGGGGGGGACCCTGGCGCTGGTGCGTGGGCGGCACGCGGGGCACAACCATGCCTGCATTCAAAGACAAAACACGCGTGGTCAGAGCTCATGCAGGAGGCAGCACAGGGGGGATATCTGAGCCTCAACCCCTGAGCTGTCACCACAATGCTGACACAACCCCCTGTGCCCGCCCACACCCTTCTCTTCCCCCCTAGCTAGCTAGGGCTGCGGGGACCTGTCCTGCAGGAGCTGTCAGGAAGGCTGGGATGGTTTCACACACAGGGGACTGTCTCCAGCATGCCCAGGACTGCCACTGACCTGTTCGCTTGCTGATGACTTCAGCGATGGAGGGGGGGAAGTACCCAACCCGATCAGTGCCTTTCTGAGTGTCATGGATGTGCCCCTTCCATCGCCCGTCTGGGTGCTGCTCCAGGACCTGCCACGGGGATGAAAGGGATGGGGTTAGTACCTGGGCCACGGTGGGGCAGGGGGACGGGGAGCAGGCTGCAGCCTCACCGTGATGACATCTCCTGCCCGGACATTGAGAGCAGTAGGGTCATGTAGGTTCCAAAAATCCTTCAAAGCTCGGACCTTCAGGATTCCTGATGCCTCTGAAGACAAGGGACAGAGGGAAGGAAGAAGGTGCCAGCGCACAGGGAGGAAGGAGAGTGGTTCAGAGAAAGCAGGGGGGAAAAAAATAAGAGCAAGGAGAGAAGAAAAACATTAAAACTGCCGGAAGGACTCAACCACTGGATGTTCCCCCACATGGAGGAAGGGGGCATGTATGACATGGGACTGGGATGCTGCCACAGCCAGGCTGGTTTAGGCTGTTCAGGAGGAACACTGGGAGCCCCAGGGGGGTCCCAAGGGGGACTGAGCTCCCCGTGGTGCCAGGCAGCGCCCGGCCGCACGCCAGCCCCACCTCACCTCTCAGCAGCTGCTTGATGTCCTTGCTGGCGTGCGAGGTGGTGAACTGGTTCACGATGTCCAGCGCCGTCTGGTTGTAGGTGTTCCTGATGTTCACGTCGACGCCGCCCTGCGCGGGAGGGGACGCGGTCAC